ACCTCAGCCTCCCAAAGGTGCGGGATTACAGGCTGAGCCACCGAGCCCGGCTCCTTCTTTCTTTCTTAAACATGATACCATTTGGGGGGGACTCAGACAACAAGTCTTCCCCTAGAGGAGAAGCAGGTTTGAAATGGCGTTCTTGATGTTTCACTGAGTAAAAAAAGGCAGATTCCAGACAACAGATCTACCATCATTCCTCGCCAATGTCCCTTTGAAAAGTGGTAGAAGGCTCCACACTAACCTGTTAGGCCTGGTTGTCCCTGAGGTTTGAGAGTTCTGGTGTGACCCTTCTTTTTTTACCTGGCTGTGTCTTCTAGTTGTGATTTGTGTCGGTTTTACAACAGAGCACGAAGACGGGTGGCGGGAACGGCGCATCATCTCAATTCTTTGGTCTGACTGTGGCTGTTTCCACCTTCACACCAAGGTCTCACTTCCTCACCGTGGGAGAACGTGGGCTTGGATCCTCTATGCCAGGCAGACCGATCCCGGCGACTGACGCCTAACCCCTCTCCCCTGCTCCCGCCTCTGCAGGCAACTTTGGAAACCTGATCGACGGAGGGTCCCACCGCGGGAGTAAACAGAGGGCAACCGAGCCAGCCAAAGAAGACCAACTGTCACTGCTGCATGAGGGACACGGGGAGGCCCCCCACGAGGCTGCCTTCCCCATGGCCTCCACCACCCACCCAGAGAAGCCACAGGTCACAGAAGGGAACAGGTCAGAGATGCAGCAGGGGAGAGCAGCCAGTGCTTCTGATGCTGGGGCTTTGTCTGGTGTCTGGGACCGTTTCATTCCGTTTGTCCCTAAAATCAGAAACATAGTTTTGAAACTCAGTTACAGAAGCAAGGTGCAAACCGGGGCAAGTGGTAAGTATCACTCAAGCAACATGACGGCTCTCCAAAGGACACATCCAGGGAGTTTATTCAAGGGCAAAGCCATGGTGATGAGGGTGATGGTGATGAGGGTGACGGTGATGAGGGTGACGGAGATATCTGAAGCCCCCTTTATTCTATAACGTTGAAGCTTAACATGGTAGGAAGGTCGGAATCTAAAATTTCAGTCCAACCCCTACTAACAGTTGTTATATCCATCGATTTTTGTGCCATAATGTAAACTCAATTTGGTGAAATTATAGAATATGTGAATTTCTTTCTTTCTTTTTTTTTTTTGAGTTGGAGTCTCACTCTGTTGCCCAGGCTGGAGTGCACTGGCACGCTCACAACCACTGCAGCCTCGACCTGCTGGGCTCAGGCGATCCTTCTACCTCAGCCTTCCAAGTAGTTGGAACTACAGGAGCATGTCACTGTTATAGCTGCACTGCGAGTAAGAAGTCACCAACACACTGAGAGTCAAATATTGAGTCCTTTTAATGCCAGTGGTTGAGAGAAGGCTCATGCCAGAAATAGACTCTTGACCCTGAATGAAGCAAGCAAGGGGTTTATATAGCAAAAACCAAGCAAGGGGTTTATATAGCAAAAATCAAGGTTACAGAGTGTCGGTTCTGGGTAGAGAACAAAGGAGATCTTTTTTCAAAGCACAGGTCTTTAAACCTCAGGGGGGAGTGTAAATTAACATAACAGGACAAGCCAGCTCGGTGGCTCAGCCTATAATCTCACGCTTTGGGAGGCTGAGGTGAATGGATTGTCTGAGCCCGCGGGTTCAAGACCCGCCTGCTCAACTTGGCGAGACCTCATCTCTACAACAAATCAAAAAAATTAGCCGGGTGTGGTAGTGCACGCCTGTAGTTCAGTTACTTGGAAGGCTGAAGGATCGCCGGAGCCCAGCAGGTTGAGGCTGCAGTGGCCAGAAGTGGCCACTGCACTCCAGTCTGACAGAGTGAGACTCCAACTAAAAAAAAAACATGGCAGGGCAGAACCAGTTCAGGGATAGTTAGGGCAGTCACGCGGAGAAGGGATGAGAGGAGGAAATGGAAGACAAAATGGAAGAACCACTGCAGAATAGAGCTACCTTGGTTAGGGCACTAACTGGGTCTCTAACCGTCATTTTACCACCACGCCTGGCTAATTTTCTTGGTCTATTATAGAGACAAGGTCCCACCCAGTTGCCCAGGCTGGTCTTAGACCCCTGGGCTGAAAGTGCTGGGACTGCAAGTATGAACCACTGTGCCCGGCTTATGTATTTTTTTATGTTATTTTTTTGCCACGGTCATTTGCAAACTGAAGAATTTTTTAAAAGTTTGTCGGCTTGGCGCAATGGCTCAGCCTGTGATCCCAGCACTTTGGGAGATTGAGGCGAAAGGTTTACCTAAGCCTGGGGGTTTGAAACCAGCCTAGGCAACTTGGTGAGACCTCGTCTCTACAATAAATCACAAAAACTAGCCGGGCATAGTGGCATGCATCTGTAGTTCCAGCTACTTGGAAGGTTGAGGCAGAAGGGTCACCTGAGGCCAGCAGGTCGAGGTTGTGGTCGTCGTGAGCATGACAGTGCACTCCAGCCTGGGCGATAAAGAGTGAGACTCCAACAAAAAAAAAAAAAAAAGATTGCCGGTCAACCCCTTTAGGTCCCACACAGTGGGAGCTTATCTGACTTCTCAATAAATCCCACTTTCTCATCCCAAAAAAAAAGGTTGTCAGAAAAGGTCGTTTCAGAAAGAGGCGGGGCACCTACGTGAACGCTTTAACCCACACAAACATTCAACCTGCAAAGAGAAGTAACATCACTGACCGTTTTAGAAAGTGGCATCAAGCCCGACCGATTGGCAACCACACGCAGGGAGTGTCCTCCCTTGCCGAACTTTGTGCCACGAGTGAGATACCCATGATCGTGCTAGGCCCTCACGACGGCACATGCCTGTCCCCCCTTACACAAGAGGAGAGCCAAGTTGAGACGCTGCTGGCCCTCGTGGACGCCTCGTTGTTCTCCCTGGTCTCTCTGCTCTTCTCTGTCTAGACACGCTCTGGAGACTGGCCATGGCCACTGCTAGGGTAACAGGGACCCCGGGCCTGTTTCCCCGGACGGCCCTCTTTCCCGAGCTGCAGGCCGAGCCACTCCACGGGGCATCCCGCTGAGCACTCCCCAGGCGGGCGGTCTTCGCACACCACTCCCGCTCCTCTGTCCTGTCTCCGGGACTGACCCCACCGATCTCTGAGTCCCCCAGGCCACACCTGGAAAGCTATCAGTGGTTCCCCTTTTCCTTCCTACCCTCATCCATGCGGTGATGAAGTCTGGGGTATTTAGTTAAGTATTTTGCATATCTGTTTGCCATCTTAAAAATCTGGCCATTGGCATGTTCACCTGGGATTATTTTTTTTTAAACTCTCACCTGGCTTGGCTTTTCTTCAAAAAAGATACCCTTCCAAAGGCTACCTCCCCCTTCCATGGCCACCTCCACCCTCTCCTGGCCACCTTTCCCCTCTCCTGGCACCTCCCCCCGTCATGGCCACCTCCCTTCTTCCATGGCCACCTCTACCCTCTCCTGGCCACCGTTCCCCTCTCCTGGCCACCTCCTTCTCCCAGGAGCCACCTTCCCCCCTCAGCCACCTTCCCTTTCCATGAGTCACTTTTCTGCTGGTCTTTTTCCCGCCCCAGCAACCATGCTTTGTGTCACCCTCCTGCACTGCACCAAAAGGAACCCCAAGCGCCAGTCTCTGAACTCCATTCTCAAAACTGAGGACATCAGGGAGTGAGTCACTGGGTCTGCAGCTCTGGGGACCTCTGAGCCTGTCTGACGTCCTCCGTGTCTTTTCCCGGGCACCAGGCATTGAAGACATTCTCCATCTGTGGACTTGCCGTTGTTGACTTTTGTGGGGTTTCAGGGAAGGCAGCAGAGCTGAGTTGAGGAGCGGATGAGCCGCCTCGAGGCATCCCTGGAAGGGCCTTGTGTGGCCGCCGGCCTGGGGCTCAGGGAGGCCAGGCTGCGTCGTGCTAGGGTTTTGGTGCATGTGGCTTCCTGTGTGTCACAACGTTGGGGCTCTGACCACAGAGAGGCACGTCAGGAAGGCAGCAGCTGCACTGGAAGAGTCTATGGCTATCGAGGATCCCATACACGGACGGACACACACACACGGCCATAGATGGACACACACAACGTACCTGTTGTCCTCGTTAGCATATCACCTTGGATATATCTGGGCTGCCCAACGTTACAAGACACATGTACTCACAAGTAACTCAGGGGCTAGCCTGGAGCTCGGGATGAGGCAGGTAGAAGACATCGCCCAGAGGCCACCACGAGTCTCAGCTTCCAGGCCTGCCTCGCCCACAGGCACAGGCCGGCGCTATGGCCCTTTCTGCAGACGGCCCTCCCCCTCCCGTCGGCTCCCCCCGGCCTGCTCTTCAGTTTGCCTGAGAACTCACAGCATCCCATACAACCGCACCCCCAAAGACCCCAAAGGGAAGGCTCTGTGTCTGAGAGGCTGAAGCAATGACCCGGGACAGCGGATGAGACATGGGCTTCATTCGGGAACATACGCACAAGGAAGGCCCAGGAGTGGCCGTCTGGGCAGAAGAAAACCGCTCCTGACGTAAAGGGCACACAGGTTACGTAGCATGTTACGCAGGGTGGGGTGCAGGGTTCTAGTGCACAGGCGCAGTGGGACAGCATGCTTACACATGTCACGTGTGCACAAGATGGCTGTGATTTCTCTCGGGGGTGAGATTTTTAGTATCAGAGTGAACTAAATGTGAACTCAAGCTAACCAAAGGTCCATGGGCACTGGTCCAGTTGGCCTGATCTGGTCTGTACCCGCCCTTGGGGTGACTGCCTTGAGGAAGAGTGTGTAAGAACGTTCACTGTGCCCAGCCGCAGGATGTGGTCAGCAGGTGGAGGACACTTCACCCACGGCCCCGGCATGACCTGCATGCCCAGGTGTGGCACCCAAGGGGAAGGGGCCGTGCCCCGGTGGCCACCCCAGCATCTCTTCCCAGGCACCAACCCCCTGCTGAGGCCATGTCCAGGGTGTGCTCATGTTGTCACTGAGCGTGTGTCACTCTACACGTCCTGGTCCAGGTAGGCCCAGGAAGACTAGGAGGACCCTGAGAACCAAGGGGACAACGGCCTTGGACATCTTAGCACACAATGACCCAAACCAAAGAAACCTTTGAAAAAAGTGCAACATGGCGTGGGAATCGATTTAGTGGCAGGATTTTCAGTGCAACATTTTTAAGGGAGATAAAATCAAGAGAGCAGTTGGGTTTCTAAACCCTTTGGTGGTTGTTCTTCTGCTGTAATGACAGCCTCAGTTTCTGCCAAGAACTTACTTGGCTTCTCTTCTGAATAAACACCCACTGGTTTATTTTCTGCAGAACAGACCACGGGGCATCTTTGCTAATTTTGTTGTCTCCATCAGAAGAAATTTGTGTGGGAACACTGAAAAAAACCATCCGTTCTACTGAGTTGAAGTTCTTGTCGGCTTATTGGAATGGAAACAAAGCTTGTTCCCCCCCTTTCTCTGTCCTTCTCTCCCTCTATAGGCTTGTTGCTCCAAACACTGTTCATATTTGTCAGGGTCTCCTATCCTTCCACACTCATTCCAAGACATTTGCTCTGCTTTCCTTCCATAGTTTGCCAAAGTGCCAGGTGTTTGTGAGAAAATTACAAAAAATGTGGGGGAAACCTAGTCAAGAAAATAGCTGTTATAGGTAGTGACACTTCTCCCACCTAAACCTACCTCCACACCAAGCCCCTTCCTCCTTGGGAACCAGAATCTGCAAATGAGCACCTTCTTTTCGGTCTTCCATCTCACCATGGTAACTGTCTCTTTCTTTTCGGCATTTAAGCATTTCCAGGGATCACCCTCAGACATTCGCTTTGGCTCTGCAGTTTCCCCCTTTTAGGTACTTGGCTGTCCTCTTTTCCCTTCTTGGGTAAGTGAATTGCCCGCTTATTAGCACCAATGCCTGGCAACGATAAATATTGGATGAATGGTTGGTTGAATGTATGGATGAATGGAAGGAAGGATGAATGATGGATGGGAGGGTGGATGGGAGGATGGATGGATGGATGGAAGAAAGATAGGGTGAATGGAGGAAGGATGGAAGGATGGATGGATGGAAGAAAGATAGGGTGAATGGAGGAAGGATGGAAGGATGGATGGATGGATGGAAGAAAGATAGGGTGAATGGAGGAAGGATGGGAGGATGGATGGATGGATGGAAGAAAGATAGGGTGAATGGAGGAAGGATGGGAGGATGGATGGATGGATGGAAGAAAGATAGGGTGAATGGAGGAAGGATGGGAGGATGGATGGATGGAAGGAAGAAAGATAGGGTGAATGGAGGAAGGATGGGAGGATGGATGGATGGATGGAAGAAAGATAGGGTGAATGGAGGAAGGATGGGAGGATGGATGGATGGATGGAAGAAAGATAGGGTGAATGGAGGGAGGATGGGAGGATGGATGGATGGATGGAAGAAAGATAGGGTGAATGGAGGAAGGATGGGAGGATGGATGGATGGATGGAAGAAAGATAGGGTGAATGGAGGGAGGATGGGAGGATGGATGGATGGATGGAAGAAAGATAGGGTGAATGGAGGAAGGATGGGAGGATGGATGGATGGATGGAAGAAAGATAGGGTGAATGGAGGAAGGATGGGAGGATGGATGGATGGATGGGAAGATTTGCAAATAGATGGAGGGAAAGATGGATGGATGGATGGATGGACGGATGGATAGACAGACGGAAGGATGAAAACGTGGGTGGAAGGACAGATGCCGAGATGGATGGACGGATGAAAGGAAGGGTAGATGGATACCAAACCATGAAATGCTAATGTTCAGTTTGCGATACATGCCTCCACCCTCAATACTGATATTATCTTGGCACATTTCCCTAGCTATTTCAGTTTACATAATGTAGTCACACTTATTATCTCACTTCGTCTCTACATGTCTCTACATGTAGACCCTGAAGAAGAGTTTAATTTTCCTTCCTTCTTTCTTCTCTCACTTAGAACCATCCTTCTTGATGAAGGCCTGTCTGATAAATCCCGCCCTCAGCGATCATTTCTAAGCTTTGCCCTGGGTCTGTGGGTACTTCTTTGCTGTGGCCACGTCACAGTTTCATTTGTCGCTCATGGGTCCCCAGCTATAGACTAAAGATAGTGTTAGTTGTCTGAGGGTTTTATCACCACCCCTCCCCACCCTGCCCAGAACACACAAAACATGAATGCGTGCCCAGGAGTTCCTGAAAAGCAGATTGCCAACTAACTACCAGAACGCATGTGTTTTCACAGGAATTACAACTATCTGCCATTTGAGGCCAAGAAGCCCTGTGTCTGCTTCATCAGCTCCTGGGGAGACCAGACCTTCAGGCTGCACTTGTCCAACATGCTGGAGAAAATGGCGGACCTCCTGGTGGGTGACTTTGACAGGGGATGGATTTGAGGATTGGGAAGCTGGGGGCTCTAGTAGAGGGTCATGACCTCAGTTTAAACACAAACAAATTGAGGCTGCTGCATTTGGAGAGTGCACGGAAGCCGCCATGTGAGTTCAGGGGAATAAAATACATTTTGCAAAATCCCTGGACTTTAAATCTTTCAATTCTCTTTAAATCAAGCTGCCTGAACTCAAAAAAATTGAATTCAAAGGGCAAGTTGTCAATACAAAATTGAAAGGTCCTGACTTCCGCTTCTGGAAAATTCGGAGTCCCTAACATGGTAGACAGTTCCCTGCAGGACCGGGCCCTGCCTCCCTCTACACGCCACCTCTCATATGCTTTTCCTCCCGGACTGGATTCCAGCTTCCTGAAGACACCAAGTTCCTTCAGGCCTCACAGCCACCATCATGCTGTTCCCTCCATTTTTCCCCTGCTCGCCCCGTTGGCCTTCAGGGCTCAGCTTCCAGCACGTCCTCAGGGAAGCTTGGACTCCCTGCCTTTCCTGCGCTCCCATAACACCCTGCTCTTCTCCTTTGGACCACTGACCGTAATTTACAATATATTTGTGTGTTTACCTGTCTGTGACTACTTCCCACAGCCTCTATGGCATTCAGCACGAGACTGGCGCCTGACCTGGCTAAATGATTACTTGGGAACTGAATGTGAGAAAGTATTTACAGTCATGCCAATATGTGCTAAACTCAGACTTTCCCACCTCACCCCCCAGGAGGAGAGAAAACTCAGGGACTGCTCCTTTTGAGACACAGGCTAGACACAGATAGATAAACTCCCGTAGTCAGGTTTTAGGAAACGTTCAGACATTGTTTTTTTTTTTTTTTTGAGTTGGAATCTCACTCCGTCGCCCAGACTGGAGTGCAGTGGCCGCTCCTGGCCACCGCAGCCTCGACCTGCTGGGCTCCGGTGATCTTCCACCTCAGCCTTCCGAGTAGCTGGAACTACAGGTGTGCGCTACCACGCCCGGCTAATTTTTGACAGGGAACCTGAAAGATTCTTAGTGACTATTGTGATAAACCATGAATTGAGAAGTTGGGCTGTCCTAGTCTTGCATACGCTAGAGATTTCTTTTGATTTGTCAAGGGGTGGGGAAGACTGCCAGCTTGACCTGCAGTAAAAGGTAATTTTTTTTTTTTTGAGTTGGAGTCTCACTCTGTCACCCAGACTGGAGTGCAGTGTCCGCTCCCGGCCACCGCAGTCTCGACCTGCTGGGCTCCAGCGATCCTTCTGCCTCAGCCTTCCGAATAGCTGGAACTACAGGCACGCGCTACCACGCCCGGATAATTTTTGACTTATTGTAGAGATGAGGTCTCACCAAGTTGCCCAGGCGGGTCTCGAACCCGCGGGCTCAGGCAATCCACTCACCTCAGCCTCCCAAAGTGCTGGGATTACAGCTGAGCCTCCGAGCCCAGAGTAAAAGGCAATTTTTAACGGGCCAAAGCCATAGAGTTCGGTTTCTGTAAATTCTAGCAAAGCAGTACAGCATATATGTTTACCCTTGGGTGTTGTTTTCCTCCAAGCCACTGAGAATGCTAGAATTTAGACCCAGAAAGAAAAGTGTGATTATGAAGTACATAAGCATACCACCCTTGCCATATACAACCCCGCCCATTCCCTGGTCCCAAACTTATATAATTAGAAGAATGGGGAGATTTTTCATTTCAGAGATTCATCAATATGATCATATTCTTATATAACAAGTTGGCTCAAACATGGCTTTTGAAGGTTTGGGTAATTACGCTATGTTGTTAGATATTTCTCGTGACCTTAGGTTTCCCAGAGGGTAGGCTCTAAGTGAGTGGTGCCCAGTGATGGAATGCATCGGTAACAGAAACGGTAAGTTGGAACAACACGAGAGAAGATACATATCTGGACTAATCCCACCTAAGAGGAGGAAAGGCAGTAACCACACACTGTAGAATGCCAGACTCTGTAAAATACATAAGATGGTTTATTCTGAGCCAAATGTGAGTGACCCTAGGCCATGACACTCCAGCCAGGAGGTCCCCAGAATGTGTGTCCTCGATGGTTGAATTGCTGCTTGGTTCTATACATTTTAGGATGACAGACGTTGCAGAAAACCATAAATCAATACAGGTGAGGTTTACAGTGGGTTAGCCTGGGAAGGTGGGCCATCTCCAAGCAGAAACTCGCAGGTTTTAAGTGGATTCAGAGGTTTCTGCCTGAGTTGTAGCAAGAGTTGGGCTCTCGTCTGAGGAATCTTGAAGTCAGTGGAGGAGATGGAGGCCTGAGGAAAGAGGAGGGAGTTGAGTTTCTCGATGTGTAGATGAAGCCTCACCAGTGGCAGACTTCAGAGAGAACAGGTAGTGTCCTAAAAGGTGCCTGCAGTCCCAGAGTCCTCAAGAGACAGCCTTACAGAGTCATAGAATACTTTGGTTTTCTTTCTGTCTCTGTTATGTGATGCTATGCCCCAGTCAGGTTGGAAAGTAAACCACATTATATAAAGTTAATAAGAAACCCATCTCCCTAGGCCCCTTAGGAATTTGGCAATGAAAAGAAAAGCATCAGAGTTTCGTCCCCACAGCACAGGAAAGTGAGGGAAATGTTTCATTTTCAAAACAAAAATTCAGTTAGAGATTATTTCTGGTATGTTAAAATCAGCGTCTCTGTTCCAAGTTTCATTCCCATGTCCTCCCCTCACCACCCCTGTGGTTTGTTTTCAGGAAGAAAGTATAGAAGAAGTGAGAGAATTGGTCAAGATTTCAGAGGAGGCCCCAGAAGAGAAAATGAAGACGGTGCTCAGTGACTTCATCGCTCAAAGCAGGTACCGGTAGAGACATCGGCTGACGGGAGCTGGGCTTCTGTGGCATCAGCTTCCACTGACAAAAACAGTCGATTTCACATGCACTCAGATGTTACGTCCATCTTAATTTTGTTCAGTCATCGAGCAGGCGCTTGTGGGCTAGCTCACTCCTTCTTCCTGACACTTAAACAACCAAAGCATAAACCAAAGGTGAGAGAAAGGAGAGAGAGACATGCTTCAAAGACTCTTTAAGAAACAAGGAAAATGCTTGCAGTTAGTGCCCAGCTTGGTGCTGATTCAGCTATTTGACAATTACATGGACAAGTTACAGGAAATACTATTGTAGCATGTCAATATTGCCCTCTGAAGGTTTGCTGAAAATCAGCGGACAAAAGACAGAGAAGAGGAAGACAAATTTATGCACGTGCCCCGGGAGGGCATCACTCAGTCACCCAGTATGGTACAGAAGCTTGTACGCCCCTTGTAATAAGGGAGGGCAGGCTGGGGAGAGGAGGTCATTCTTTGGCGGGACAGTCAATGATCAGGGAGAGTGAATGGACTGGTGGGTGGGAGGCAGACGGTGTGGGAAGGCGAGGGCAGAGCTGCACAGGAGCAAAGGTTGTCACCACACAGATGAAGTCCGTGGGGATCGCTCAGAAAAATAGATGAGCCGGGCTCGGTGGCTCAGCCTGTCATCCCGCGCCTTTGGGAGGCTGAGGTGAGTGGATTGCCTGAGCCCGCGGGTTCGAGACCC